TTTTTGCGGCTGCTTCCCACTAGCTATCTATTTTACGTTTGGTAGTGTATATATGTCCATGTTATTATTTTTAATGGCTATTAATGCAGTATTCTATAAAATGGCTGTAATGTATTTAACCAATCCCTAGCGATGGATTAGGTTGTTTCTATTCTTCTTTATACAAATAATGCTGTGTGCCACTAGAGTATAATTTTAAAAATTGTTTGCCTTTAACAATCTGATTAAAGAAATAATTCCTAGGGTAAGTATCTGGTGGATTATAAAAGCTGGGACTTACTTAGCTTGGTCAGGCCTAAGAGGTCTTAATTCTGTAACTGGATCTAAAATTATGATTTTAGACAAACTGACCCACCTAAAAGCCGAGAAGACATAATTTAACAAATTACTTAGTGCCCTGACAATGAGAATATTTTCCTGAAGGTGCCCAAACTGTTCAATAGGAACAGCACACTGTTCTTGCTGACTAACACTAGGTTTTGGGACACATCCTCAAACAGGAACCAGATCTTTTCAGTTTTAATGCCAAACACACTGTATTTCAGCTTCTTCAGAATGAATCAGTAAGTCCAGCACTTTCCTTATCAAGGCCTTGGCCTGGGCTGCTTCCCTATCTGGAGAGAAATCCAGTCTACCTCTCTGCTGTGATGTATTATTCATCTTTCAAGGGCCAGACAGCTACTGAAACCTCCCTACTCTGATTAATCACTCCTTGGTTCAATGCTCCAAATACCATTTGGCTACTGCCCTTGGGGCATTTATAGAACAGGTTACACTTATCTATGTATACATATATGCCTGCTTACGAAAATGTATATGAGTACAAGATTGGAAAATTTTTGAGGTTAAGTGTACATGACTTTTTCAACCTTATATCTCTTACTCAGGCTATTCATAGAGTAAGTACTAAATAATTGTTGAAAATATCTATTCTTTTGAGAAAAAAATATCTTAAATGAATACATGAATGGTATACCATTTTTACTTTTTAAACTAGTAAATGCTAACAAAAGTTATAGCTCATACACTGCTGATGGGTTATTTGTCAACCTGTATCTAAAGCTTTAAATATGTATACACACTTTGATGCAACAAATCCATTTCAAAGAATTCATCTTCAGGAAACAATCACGAATATTTCCAAAGCTTTACATTAAGGGTTTTTTGATGCAATATTGTTTACAAGAAAGAAAAATAGAAATGACTTCAATGTTTCAATAACATGATAAATTACAGCATATATAAAATGGAATCTCATCTAGCCAATAAGAATAATTCATGACATGGAGAAAATACTCTCCATTATGTGAAAAAAAATTAAGTCTCTGAAATATGAATCCAACTGAGTATGCATAGTAAGATCCAATTTTATTAAAATAAAGAGAAGAAATGAGATTGGAAGTAAAGGGACCAATATAGTAACAGAGTTCCCTCTGCGCAGTGGATTTATGAATGACCCTTTAAAAATTTTTTATGTTGTCAGAATCTCTTTCTGATACATATTGTACCTACTTTGCCTTTTACAGAATAAAACCCGCTAAACACATTTGCGGAATGAATAAATAATTCATATTATCTCTCTTTAGCCACATAAAAATCTGATGATGTATATCGACCGCTTTCTTCTTTTTTCCCCAGAAAATGCTGGAGTGCAGTGGTGTAGAATTTCATTTTGAACTTTTTCCTATAGAATCAACAAATATCAGTGTTCTAGGCAACAGGGACTCTGTAGACTTCCTAATGTGCTGGCTCAGTACATAAATGTTCAGATCTGAATGTGGTGGTTAGTTAAGCAGATGAAATACAAACGCATTTTGGAAATCAAGAGGCTGTAAAGAAGATCGGAAATGTGGAAAAAGTTCTCATATTCTTATTTTGTTACTTTCAGGTAAGTCCCTTAAATAAACCCTCATAATGTCTGCTCTCGGTTGCTTCACATATAAAAGAAATGACTGATAATTCTGAATAAACAGTCTTTGAATGTCACATCTGAGGTTAAGATGTCAACTGCAGAATCCCATCAAGGATAACGTAGTACAGAAATTTCTGATGCTTCTGATAGAAATACTACAATGACACTGTTAGGAAAGAACACTTGCAAGATGATTTTTGGAGATTTGAATCGATACTTACATAAATATTGACACGAGTAATAAGCCATATGATAAACACAGACATTTCTTCAGCATACACCTACATATATTCACATCCATTCTGAACAGTTTCACACTTCTGGATCTATGTAACATGCTTGGCACAAAGTAGGAGCTCAACAAACTATACCTTTTCCTTTTCTATTCATTGCTCTCTTTTTTTTTTAACATCTTTATTGGAGTATAATTGCTTTACAATGGTGTGTTAGTTTCTGCTTTATAATAAAGTGAATCAGTTATACATATACATATGTTCCCATATCTCTTCCCTCTTGCATCTCCCTCCCTCTTACCCTGCCTATCCCACCCCTCTAGTTGGTCACAAACCACCAAGCTGATCTCCCTGTGCTATGCGGCTGCTTCCCACTAGCTATCTATTTTACATTTGGTAGTGTATATATGTTCATGCCACTGTCTCACTTTGTCACAGCTTACTCTTCCCCCTCCCCATATCCTCAAGTCCATTCTCTAGTAGGTCTGTGTCTTTATTCCTGTCTTACCCCTAGGTTCTTCATAACACTGTATGACATAAATCACAGCAAGATCCTTTTATAACTACCTCCTAGAGAAATGGAAACAAAAACAAAAATAAACAAATGGGACCTAATGAAACTTAAAAGCTTTTGCACAGCAAAGGCAACCACAGACAAGACCAAAAGACAACCCTCAGAATGGGAGAAAATATTTGCAAATGAAGCAACTGACAAAGGATTAATCTCCAAGATTTACAAGCAGCTCATGCAGCTCAATAACGAAAAAACAAACAACCCCATCCAAAAATGGGCAGAAGACCTAAATAGACATTTCTCCAAAGAAGATATACAGACTGCCAACAAACACATGAAAGAATGCTCAACATCATTAATCATTAGAGAAATGCAAATCAAAACTACAATGAGATATCATCTCACACCAGTCAGAATGGCCATCATCAAAAAATCTAGAAACAATAAATGCTGGAGAGGGTGTGGAGAAAAGGGAACACTCTTGCACTGCTGGTGGGAATGTGAATTGGTTCAGCCACTATGGAGAACAGTATGGAGGTTCCTTAAAAAACTACAAATAGAACTACCATATGACCCAGCAATCCCACTACTAGGCATATACCCTGAGGAAACCAGAATTCAGAAAGAGTCATGTACCAAAATGTTCATTGCAGCTCTATTTACAATAGCCCGGAGATGGAAACAACCTAAGTGCCCGTCGTCGGATGAATGGATAAAGAAGATGTGGCACATATATACAATGGAATATTACTCAGCCATAAAAAGAAACAAAATTGAGTATTTGTAGTGAGGTGGATGGATCTAGAGTCTGTCATACAGAGTGAAGTAAGTCAGAAAGAGAAAAACAAATACCATATGCTAACACATATATAAAGAATCTAAGGAAAAAAAGAAAAAAAGGTCATGAAGATCCTTTTCTATTCAAACAGCCCATTTCCCTGGAGTAAATTAGAGTTTTGTTTGAAAAGGAACACATGTAAAGGCAAAACCTTTTAAGTTTTCCAACATATTTGTTTATACAACTGTCTTTAAAACATATTAGGTATTATGCACTGCCTGCTTCCTAAGTGCAAGTATGTGGAACCTGATTTAATCCATCTGCTGATGCCCTGTGGCCATCACATGCTTCTCAACATCCATGCAGACCTCCCTGGCTCTTTTCTGACCCATTTACCCAGCCCCACAGTACCCAGTCCCAGACGCTTCCATGTGCTCATTATCTGTTACTCTGTGTTGCAGTTTCTAATAGACTTCCTTTTCCACGAAAAAAAAAAGGGAAGGGGGAAGGAATCTTTACTCTTGATTTCTCAACTGAAAAATCCTCGTGGCTGACTTTACTTTTTGAACCTGCAGTCAAGTTGTTAATGTTGAGCATTAGTTGCAGAAAATCTGCCCTCCAGAGAAGTCTGCATTGTTAAAAACACACAACAAAATAACCTGAAGTTCCCCAAACAAGACTGTGATGTGTTCCAGTATAGCACAGAAACTAGATCTTCATCTAGAGCCAGATACATGTGTGTGCATATACGCCTTGTTATGTTATACACTGTAATGGTGAGCACACACTTCACAAGGATGCTATGAGGGAGACAGAAATGGTACCTTTACTCTACAGGCCAGGAAATGAGGTGTTTGAAAGGTGATGTCACTGTCTCATGGTCACTCAGCTAGCAGTGGAGAGTCAGGACTTGAACCCTTGTTAATTTGATGTACTTTGTGTACTGTTCCCTGGTTCAACAGACTCTGAAAATATAGATGATCTTTGTTTCCTTTTAATGTTCTTGGCACAGTGGGGGTTATGAAAATTAATATGTTTGGGTTTAAGCAAAATCCTATGACTTGGTCCAACTTTTGATTCTTCCCATTGATTAGTATAACCAAAGGTGGTCTTTTATGGACTGATGGCTGGATTTTGTGCGAGGATGAACTATCCTGTGATTTGGAAAAAAAAAATCCAGGCCTGTTGATAGTTGAGTTCAATTTAAATCTTTTTAGTGAAACCAATTGACAAGATATCTAAGGTTTTACATCATTCATGTCTTTCCCCACTTTGAGTGATGGTGTAAATATATTTTTCACAAATGTATTTGTGAAAGTTGAAAAACAACATAAAATTACAGTATTTTAAAATAAGAAAGAACCTTAAAGATAATCTAGACTTGCCATTTCATTTCTTACTAGGAGACCTGAGGTTACTAATTATCCCTGATTTCTTCAATACTATAGGGGTTGGCAGCATTGTCAGCAAACAATTGTTGAAATAGCTTATAATCGTGCAATTTAGGGGGAAATACACACACACACACACACACACACACAATATTCTAAAAGTTTAACTAACCTCCAAATCCATCAGGCACATATGTTTTAAGAACAATATTGCAGAAAATTGTTGGCAGTGATAAAGGTTTATTTCCCTCATTTCGAAGAGAAATGTGTCGATAGCCTGCTTGGAGGCCATCCAGTGGCAGAATCCTCTGGCCAATCAGCTTGTTGTTGTCATCATACACTGCAAGTCTCAAGACTGCCAGGTCAGGGAGGATCACCTGCAAACAAGAAATGGTACTTTTCGTTGCTTTTTGGAATGCAGCTCCCAAGAATTACAACTCTAGGAATCTGGAGTATATTCATAATGTTCTGAAAGGCTTTTTTATGGTGAAAATAAGCCAGTGGTCAATCTGCATTCTTAAAGCATACTGTATAAGCTACAATGCCCAAGCCATTGAGAAAGGCAATTGGAACAGGTTGGAATTCACTTCCTGGAAGTCATTTCCTGAAAATTTTAGATGGAATGAATGGATGTGAAAGATGACTACTCCAACACTTGGCATCTTTCCCCGTCCCACCCATGTAATGGATGAGCAAAAGGAGACCCTGAGAAATAAAGTGACTTTCCTTTATATCAGAGATGGTCAGTGACAGCTGGGCCTGGACACTGGGGCTCCTGATTTCTACTTCTGTGATCTGTCTACTACCTGGGGTGCTTCTGACATCAAACTCTGTTTTTAAGAAAATGGAAAGTATCTTTGAAGAAACACCTCATGTATAAAAGACAATCTATATATAAATTTAGATTTCCCCTTTTCCTTGCACACCTCAGTTTTTAACACATTTTGGGATATTAAATAGAGTAAGATGGGGCAGCTAGAAGCATTAACATAGGGAATTCCCTGGCAGTCCAGTGGTTTGCACTCTGTGCTCTCACTGCCAAGGGCCCAGGTTCGATCCCTGGTCAGGGAACTAAGATCCTGCAAGCTGTGCAGCACAACAAACAAAACAAAACAAACAAAAACAGAACAAAACAAAAAACCACCAACAACAAAACAAAAACAACATTAACATATACCCAAGACATCTACTCTTGCCATCCCCAAACCTAATACATGGCCATAACATCTGAGCTCAGATAGCAGAAGCTCTATTCAGATATAAAAGAGCAACATGACAAAAAAAAATCCTATGTTTTTTAATCAAGAATGCCTATTTAGGGCTTCCCTGGTGGCACAGTGGTTGAGAGTCTGCCTGCCGATGCAGGGGACACGGGTTCATGCCCCGGTCCGGGAAGATCCCACATGCCACGGAGCGGCTGGGCCCGTGAACCATGGCTGCTGAGCCTGCGCGTCCGGAGCCTGTGCTCCACAACGGGAGATGCCACAACAGTGAGAGGCCCACGTACCGCAAAAAAAAATAAAAAACAAAATAAAAATAAAAAAATAATAAAAAAAAGAATGGCTATTCATTGGCTATGAGCCGCTAAGATATCTCGTCTGATTTGAGCATTATGTCTAAAGCTAGACAATGAACTGGCTGCTTATTTATGCCTAGAGGTTATAAGTTAATTCCAACTTCATGAAGATGAACAGGAGAAACCAAGATGAAACGCATCCAACTTCAGTCACTATGTTGTTCCCCACGTGGTAAATGGGTGCTTACCTTGTGAGATTAGCGCAATGAAAAAGAACAATACCAGCAAGAAGGAAAATAAAGTTAAAGCACTTGGTATCAATGAAAGGCAATGTATTGTAACTTCTAAAGAACAGGGAAGGATGCAAAATTGGCATCTTGTTTCTGGGGCTAGTAATACTGCATGAAAAACCAAGTTTGATATTTCCCTATGCATCAAAAACAATGCCTGAGGCCAGCTTTCTGAATTTCTAGAAAAGTGTGTAGGGATTATTCATTATGCTCCAAAACACTGACCATACTGACAACAGATCCAGCTATAACAAATGGTAAAACATGGGAAGAAAAAAAAGACACATCACAGCTGTGTATGCAATTCACACTACACTCTGATTGTAGAAGAGAAGGTGAAAATGGGGGGAGGGTGTTGCACGGATAATGGTATTCACATAACAGGGAGCGCCTACATGTCAAAATGGTGTGATTTATTGAACTATATTGATCTTCTGTAATATGCTTTCTGGAAACAGGTTAGCCAATTCTGAGGTTGATAATCCCTATTTTTGTTAGGATAAAAAGCTGATTATCTGTGTTGCATGACATACGTATGTCATGCAACACTTGGAAAACCTGTGCCAGAAGAAGAAGCAAGAAAGCATTTTGGTTGGATAACAGAACAAGTGAGAAAGAAACAGGAATTTTTGAGATAGCACTGCCAATGCACGGATTTTTCAATACATCTTCCATTGATGAAAGAGAAACAACTGGAAAAAGAATGGTTACAAGATTAAGGGCCTCCCCAGTGGTTCAGTGGTTAAGAATCCACCTGCCAATGCAGGGGACACGGTTTCGAGCCCTAGTCCAGGAAGATCCCACATGCCATAGAGCAACTAAGCCCATGCGCCACAACTACGAAGCCTGTGCTCTACAGCCTGTGAGCCACAACTACTGAAGCCTGCATGCCTAGAGTACGTGCTCCACAACAAGAGAAGCCACCACAATGAGAAGCCTGTGCACCATAACAAAGAGTAGCCCCCCACTCGCCGCAAATAGAGAAAGCCTGCACGTAGCAATGAAGACCCAACGCAGCCAAAAATAAATAAATAAAACAAATTAAAAAAAAAATGGTTACAAGATTAAAAATTGCATCATTACAGAGAATGACTGATTGGTCTTAGGATCAAGGTATAATAAGGAGATAAAAAACAAAAAGACAAAAACAGCAAATGACCCACAGGACCTGTGGGTAGCAATGGGGACCGCATTTTCTGGAGGCACAGGACAATACCAACTGACCCATTTAAGGACATTTATTGGCCTCAGTCTAGGTGCAACATCCTACCCATCCTCTTGGCTAAAGGAACAGTGCAAGTCACCAGCTGCCACAAGGGCAGGGAAGAGCTCTCCCACATGTGATGCTGTCCACCTGTAGGGCTCCCTTTGAGTAGACTGCTATCCTGGGGCTTGGGCACTACCATGTGGGAGGTGGGCTCCTCCAAGGAGGAAGGAGAGCCAAGAGGAGGACTGGGAAAAACTGAAACAACAATCACATGATGGCTGCAGAATTCATGCATTAGAAGAACACATTTAGGGTTGAATAACTGTCCCTATATCATGTAGTGTCGCTACACTAAAATGTGGTTCCCAACATAGCAGAGTGAGTCTGACACATTGAAAATACCCTACCTTCCGAAATACAAATGATTCTTCATTGTAAACTGGATTGAGTCCATTGTTCATCACCATGCGTGTTCGGAATTCCTTCCGGATAGTGTCGGTGGGCAACCCATACATATCCACTTCTACATATGTGCCAATTTTTTTATCTGATAAGAACTGACCTGATATGACCTATAGAAATAGGATGAGAGAGAAGTAAAGTCAGTGTAATCATCAGTAGCAAAGAATAATCTGGAAGGAAGAGATTCTCTGTTCATCTTTAGAAATTTTAATTAGTTATGGAAATAATGTATTCATTCCTTATTAAACTAAAACATGGTTGAGCAAGCACTACATGCAAAAAACTATTCTAGGCAGAGGTTCTGCCTCTGAGAACTGCCTAGAAAAAGAAAGAGGGAACTATACATGAATCAGCTATTACAAAAAAATACTGTCCACAGCATCTTCGCCTAAGTGCCCACACCTATGAACTGAAGCAATGGATTCAAATATGCCCTAAAGTCACTTCATAGCTCTGAAATTCTGTCACACCACACTTTTACTGAATTCTTTCAGAAGTCTTGAGACACACGGAAAGAAAAGCAATGCTAAACTGATGTTGATAATCTTCATACAGGACAGTGTTAATTTTTGTAAAGACCAGTATTAAATTTTATCTATTTTAAAGCTATGGAGAGATTATTTTTCATTTATTTTCCAAATGACTACAGCCATTTATTAGGTTTTTTCACATTATCTAATAGCTAATAATTGTGAAACAGTTTTTCGAGGTATAACTGACATAAAATAAACTGTACATCTTTAAAGTGTACAATGAGATCAGTTTTTACACATGAGCACATCTGTAAAACTATCACCACAATTAAGACAATAAATATTTCCAACAACTCCCAAAGTTCCTTTGTGCCCTTTTGTAATTCATCCCTTCTTCCATCTCTGTCTAGAGGAAACAACTGATTTACTTTCTGTTACTATACATTAGTTTGCATTTTCTAGAATTTAGTATAAGTGGAAACATATAGTAGGTATCTTTTCATTAATAAGCTTTTTGTTCATAGCCGTTTTTGCTGTACAGCAAAGTTGAGAAGAAAGTACAGAGTTCTCATATACCCCTGTCCCCGTACCCACCCCTTCCCCCACTATGTGTATCTCGCACCACAGTAGTATACTCGTTACAATCAGTGAACCTACATTGACACTTCATTATCACCCAAAGTCCATAGTTTACATTTAGGGTTTACTCTTGGTGTTGTACATTCTATGGATGTAGAAAAATGTATAATGATATGTATCTACCATTGTAGTATCATACAGAATAGTTTCACTGCCCTAAAATCCCTGTGCTCTGCCTGCTAATCCCTCCCCGCAACTCCTGATCATTTTTAGCATCTCCATAGTTTTGCCTTTTTCTGGAATGTTATATAGTTGGAATCACACAGTGTGTCACTTTTTCAGACTGGCTTCTTTCACTTAGTAATGTACATTTAAATTTCATCCATGTCTTTTCATGACTCAATAGCTCATTTCTTTTTAGAACTAAATAATATTCCACTGTCTGGATGTGCCACTGATTATTTATCCATTCACCTACTAAATGGCACCTTGGTTACTTTCAAAATTTTGTCAATTATGAACAAAGCTGCTAAAAACAACCCTGTTAAGTTTTTGTGTGGACATAAGTTTTCAATTCATTTGGGTAAATAACAAGGAATACAACTTGCTGGATCATATAGTAAGAGTATGTTGAGTTTTGTAAGAAACTGCCAAACTGTTTTCCAAAGTGGTTTTATCATTTTGCATTCCCACCATCAATGGCCAAGAGTTCCCATTGCTCCACAGCCTCTACTAGATACTTTTTGATCTGATGTTTTTCATTAAAAGCAGCTAATAATGTCACTAGTAGAAAAACATGTTTCTCAAGAAAAAAAGAAAGAATTTAAAATCAAAGTTGAGAGCCACACATGGATCTTGCAAATTGACATTAATTTTTTATTTTTTTTGAATTTGGCTGTACCGGGTCTTAGTGGGCATGTGGGTTCTTAGTTGTGGCATGTGGGATCTAGTTCCAGGCATTGGGAGCATGGAGTCTTAACCACTGGACCACCAGGGAAGTCCCAACATTAAATATTTTAGTTGTAATTTCTTAAGACTTTTCCAAGACCACCTGCATATACATTTATACTATTCTGTGAAAAGCAAGCACCTTACCTGCACTGAGCAAGTGGCTGCAATAACCCCATCAACAGGCGTTTCAGAGAAGGGATCAAATGTTCTATCGGGCCGTCTCATGAAATCTGGTTTGAGAAGGTACCTGATGGGACAAAAGTGCAGAAGGAGTTTATTTTGTTAGTTACTTTTATAAAGACTAAGAAAACCACTATTCAAGATACTGAATACTTATTTATCCCCATTTCTAACTTAGGAGCTAGGCTTTTAGGTAGAGGATCTCAAGGACTGAAGAGAATATCCATGCCCTCTGGATAATCCTAATGAGGAGCAGGGAAGAGCAAATGTTCTCTAGATTCCAGCCTCTGGGACATTTATGACTTCCTGACACTACCATCTTCTCTGGAACTCCTTTATGCTCTTACATGCACAAAATAATAATGAAAAACCAACTAAATGAGCTATAGTTATCAAAATATGGGAAATATGTGATATTATTTATTGTTTTAATTAATGTATTAAATTATGGGATATAATGACAAGTTTGATAACTACATAGTTTCAAAGTGCCGATAATCATAAGAATATTTTGAGAGATCTCTAACAAAAGTAATGAGATATCTGTGATTTATATCGGTGTCAGAGTCAGAGGTACCACTAACATTACTGTGGATTGTTGTCTATTTTCATAATCGAATGGAATGTAAAGTTTCAGTTAGAGGTAGGTGAAGATAAAGATGTTATTATTTCTCCAATTCTAGCCAGGCTAATTAGGTAAGAAAATGAAATTAAAAGGCATCCAGACTGGAAAGAAGTATTTAATACTATTTCTATTCTCAGATGATATGACCTTATATATAGAAAATCCTAAAGAATCCACTAAAAACTATTTGAACTAATAAACGAGTTCAGCAAGCTTACAGGGTACAAAATCAATATATAAAAATCAATTTTATTTCTATGCAACAAGCAACGAACAATCCAAAAATGAAATTAAGTAAACAATTCCATTTATAATAGAACCTAAAATAATAAAATACTTAGGAATACATTTAACAAAATAAGTACATATACTTGGAAAACCACAAAAAATTGTTGAAGAAAATTTTAAAAGAACTAAATAAATGGAAAGATATCTTGTGTTCATGGATCAGAAGGCTTAATATTGTTAAGATGGCGCTAGTCCCCAAATTGATATACAGATTCAATACAATCCCTATCAAAATCTCAGCTGGCTTCTTTATAGAGATTGACAAGTTGATCCTAAAATTCAATTGGAAACTCAAAGACCAAGAATTCCCCAAACATTCTTGATAAAGAAGAACAAAGTAGGAGGTCTCATTCTTCTCAATTTCAAAACTTTCTACAAATCAACAATAACCTAAGCATCTTGGTACTGGCAAAAAGATAGATATATAAATCAGTGAGATAGAATTGGGAGTCCAAAAATAAATTCATATCTATGCTCAACTGATTTTTGACAAGGATGCCAAGACTAGTCAGTGAGGGAAAGAACAGTCTTTAAACAAATGATGCTAGGACAACTGGATAGCCACATGCAAAAGAATAAAATTAGTCCCTTCTTTCACATCATAAACAAAAATTAACTCAAAATGGATCAAAGGCCTAAAAGTAAAAGCTATAACTATAAAACTCTTAGAAGAAGACTTAGGGATAAATCTTTGTGACTTGGAATTTGACAATGGATTCTTAGACATAACACCAAAAGCACAAGCAACGACCAAACATATCAATACATAAACTTCACTTCATCATAAAGACTTTTACACTTCAAAGAACACTCTCAAGAAAGTGAAAAGACTAGTCATAGAATGAGAAAAAATATTTGCAAATCATTTACCTGATAAGAGGCTTGTATCTAAAATATATGAAGAACAAATAACCCAGTTAAAAAATGGGCAAATGATTTGAATAGACAATTCTCCACATAACATATACAAATGGCCAGCAAGCACTTGAAAAGATGCTTAATATCATGAGTCATCAGAGAAACGCAAACCAGTACCATAATAAGATACCACTGCACACACACTAGGTTGGCTACAATAAAAAAAAAAAAAAAGTCAGATAATAGTAACTACGGATGAGGAGATGGAGAAATTGGAGCCTTCATAGGACATTGCTGGTGGGAATGTAAAATGATGCAGCCACTTTGGAAAACAGTCCGTAGTTTCTCAAACAGTTAAACATAGAGTTACCATATGACCCAGCGATTCTTAGGTATACACCCAAGAGAAGTGAAAACATCTGTCCATACAGAAACTTGTACATGAATGTTCATAGTGGCATTATTTGTAATAACCAAAAGATAGAAACAATCCAAATGCCCATCAAAAGATGAATGGATATACGATATGAGGTATATCCATATAATGGAAAATTATTCATCAATAAAAAGAAATAAAGTACTGATACACACTACAACATAAGTGAACCTTGAAACCATTATGCTAAGTGAAACAAGACAGTCATAAAAGGTCACATATTATATGAATCCATTTACATGAAATGTGCAGAACAGGCAAAAATATAGTGACAGTGTGTAGATTATTGGTTGCTTAATGCTGGGATGGGGGCAGGGGATGTTAGAAGGTGACAGCTAAAGGGTATGAGTTTTCTTTTTTGTATGACTAAAATGTTTTAAAATTGATCTCCAGCACTGTATGCCCCTTATCCCCACTGGGTATGGTCACAGAATCACACCTTGGCTAGATTGATAACTTTCCTGAAACTTGTGTTAAAGAACTTCATCTCTCTAAAAGAAATATTTTTTGTTAGGAATGACTATAACCATAGATACGAAAATTCCACACCAATGTGATCAGTATATAAAGGAAAATAAAAGCACTTTCCCCAAAACTCTAGGTTTGCTTTTAGATGTAAAAGAATCACAATTTGGGATCAAATCTTTCATATTCCTTAGGAGTGTAACTTTTACTAGTTTCAACTCTAGATGATGTCAAATTTATTACTATCTTTTAAAGTACAACCAAAAAAAGTAATCCCAAGGCATAATATTTTTCCTTAAAGGAAAGTTTAAAGTCATGTTTTTTTGTTTTTGACAAAGTTGCCATTCTTTGCTATCTTCAAAGTCTGAACAAAAAAGTGTTAAAAAAAAAGCCCACATTCCACTTGGATACAATAATCAATCAAAAACCCAAGGACAACACTGACTTTTAAATAAAGGATATAGAGAGTTTATAGAATAGTTCAAATATTAAAGATGACATTCAACATTCACCTGTCTCCAATAGAACGCAACCCTTAATATTATCAATACAAGGTCTCTGCATAGAAGATATTGTTTTCTACGTTTATAGAGCTTTGATTTGGACCTTTTTTTGTGGCAAATGTTAACCACTGGAAATTATGATGATACAGTAAAACTCAAGACTTAGGATGGGAAGTAGATGAGTGAATACAATTCTACACACACTTCTCCAAGGGAAGCCTACTAGCTCTGCCTGGCCAAGCATCAGACATCAGCTGCGAGGCGAGGTCATGAATCATGGCTCTAGCTTTCACATGGAAGCAGCATTTGGATTCCAGTTGTGTGAAATGAGGGAATCTGCCTTCTGCGAAAGGTGGGACTCGGGGTCCATAAAGGACTGTAGTCATACATCCAGTCTAGAATCTCCTAGGGCAGTGGCTGTAGAGATTCAGGACTCCCTGTGGTGCCCCTCAGTCATTTCTGAAGGGTCAGGAGCCCCTTCTCACCAAAAACAGAGCAATGTCATATTGATGATGTTTCAGTACCAAAAACATTCTTCCACATTCCCTGCTGCTCTCAGACCTGCTTAGAAGAAAACTAATCTGTGAAAGCGTAATCCAAAATAAAAAATGTCAGGAGGAAATGGCAAGAAATCCAAGTCCAATTCTCCAAAGTTGGCAGCTTGCAGTGTAATGTGTTCATTTATATACCTAAAAACTAAAAGAGACTGTGTAGAAGTGATACCGAGCAGGACCCTGTGGGGCTCCTGGACACAGAAGCCTGTCTGTGTTCCCCCATTTTTTGTTTGTAGGAAATAGGCTTCATTCAGCCTCCACCACCTTCTCTGAGTTCCAATAAGCAGGTTCAAACAGTTGCTAATCAGGGAAGGGAGGAAATGCGGAGACAAAGGAAGAACAGTCAAGAAACAATAGTGCAGCCTTGGGGCAAGGTCCTGGTCCTCCCTCAAGGAATACACAAAACAATATCTTTGAGCTGTTTTGCAGTTACTGAACCCCCACCAGGTGGGAGAAGTTAACTGTATGCTGCCCACAAGTACCAGACCCCAGACAGGTTGGAACCAAGAGGTTGATGATGCTGACTCCCAATTACCTCATCACCAACCAATCAGAAGAATATCCACAAGCTGATCACACCCTCTTTGAACCATTTCTATAAAACTCCTCACTATCCCCTCCGGGTTAGGACACACAATTTTGAGGGCATTAGCCCAGTGTGGTCTCCTTTGCCTGGCAAAGCAATAAAGCTACTCTTTTCTACTTCACCCAAAACTCTGTCTCGAGATTTAATTTGGTGTCAGGGTACAGAGGCTGGATTTGGCTACAGAAGTCTGACAGGATCCCTGGCTTGGGGGTGACACTTAGCCAGCTTGTCTTGAATGAGTGTCAATTTCGGGCCTAAGGTGGCAGAGACTGTCACTCACAGACCTGGAGGCTGTGTAGGTCCAGGGATTCTGGGCATCGATGGGGAAGCAGGAGCTGGAGCCCTGCCTTTATGGGGGTGGGGTTTGTGCCACTGCAGGCCTAAAAGGCACAGAATGTCTCTGTACAGAAACACAGCCCTCAGACACAGCCCACAAGGATTTTTTATTTATTTTTATTTTTTTAACATCTTTATTGGAGTATAATTGCTTTACAATGGTATGTTAGTTTCTGCTGTTTAACAAAGTGAATCAACTGTACCTAAACATATATCCCCATATCTCTTCCCTCTTGCGTCTCCCTCCCACCCTCCCGATCCCACCCCTCTAGGTGGTCACAAAGCACCGAGCTGATCTCCCTGTGCTATGCGGCTGCTTCCCACTAGCTATCTATTTTACATTTGGTAGTGTATGTATGTCCATGCCACTCTCTCGCTTTGCCCAGCTTACCCTTCCCCCTCCCTGTGTCCTCAAGTCCATTCTCTACATCTGCGTCTCTATTCCCATCTTTCCCCTAGGTTCTTCATGATCATTTTTTTTTTTTTTTTTACATTCCATATATAGGTGTTAGCATACGGTATTTGTTTTTCTCTTTCTGACTTACTTCACTCTGTATGACAGACTCTAGGTCCATCCACCTCACTACAAGTAACTCAATCCACAAGGATTTTTTAAAAGTCCCTGCAGGTGGGCAGGAGAATGACAAGGGTAGTGCAGTGAAAGCCATGGGGTGTCTCAGATGCCCTTGCTCAGTGGCTGGCCCATCTCCACCAGCTATGACTCCTCAGGGGCATAGCACACTCGTAAGAAAGATTGCCCCTCTCTGCCCTGTTGGTGACAACCTCTTCCTCCAGGCTGGGTGTGGGGAAAAGGGAAGGGGCAGGGGGACACGAGACTGAACAATACTGTTAACGTCTCTTGTGGTCAGGCTGCCCCAAGGAGCAATCGTATTTTTTAGTCCCCCTGATGGGACTTCAGTTTTGGTCACATCACCACAAACACGTGAGCACAGAATTCAGGCTAATGTAGCACCATCCTTGCTCATGAACATATTTTAAAATACACAGTGGTATGGAAGGTGAGACACTGAGCATGTGAACTGTAGCAAATCGGAAACCTGAAAAGAAACATAGTGAAGGCGTAGAACTCCTGTTGGTGTAACAAAGCAGGACCCTATGGGGCCTTCCTGGGACAGACTTCTCTGCTACATCCTCTGCTTTAGCTCCTCTCTGAAGTACCTAGGTAACAGTATCTGATGCATATTTCCTGAGTTTTTCAGATGCTAAAACCACCACCAAATGGAAGAAATTAATTACTTGCACGTGGCCCCCAGACCTACTGGAGCCTAAGGATTGATAATGTGAACCCCTGTGACACTGCCCTGTTACCTCACCATCAACCAATCAGAGAACTGTGCACAAGCCCAATTGTGTGTGCCCTGTGACACCCTCCCCCCACCCATCATCTGGCCTTTAAAAATGCTTTGCTGAAACCCTTCAGGGAGTTCAGGAGTTTTAGAGCACTAGCCACCCGTTCTTCCTGTATAGGGCCTTACAATAAACGTTGCACTTTCCTTCACCACAACGTGGTGTCAGTAGACTGACTTTACTGCATGTGTGCGAGCAGACCCAAGTTTGGCTCAGTAACAGTGGGACCCCTTTTATGTGGAAACAACTCCCCTCCCCATGTCAGGGCAGGATAAGCCATCAAACGGCTGAGGTGAAAGGTAAAGCTCCTTTGGCATCCGTGAGCCAAAGGAAGGTTCAGGGAGTGAGCACAGCCAGGTGTGAACCATGAGGGCTGTCTCTTGGGCTCCTTACAGGCCTGTTGTGAGCAGACCGCTCATTTAATCTTGTGTGATTCCTGCCTGTGATCGGTCATACGGGCTTAAGCTTTTTTGCAACCTCACTTTTTCACAGAAATCTGCAGTTCATGAAGTACTTCAAATAGAATCAGTTCAAACCCACTGAGCTGTCACAGCAAACCCAGGGCTCCAGGTGTTACCGGCTTCATTTTACCAGCAGGAAATTGAGGTTTAGGGTCTAACACACCTGCCCAGGGCAACAACAGCATGTGGCGCACCCAGGGCTCAAACCCGGGTCAGGTGGAGCCGAGGGCTTTTACCCCCTGTGCCACAGCTGCCCCGGGGTCTCATTGCCTAAGCCTCCACCGGGGGTCCACCCATCAATTTACCTACACAATCTCCCGGTGCTGAATGCTTTGCGCTAAATAACAAAGTAGCTTAAAAACAAAACAAACAAACAAAAAAACTCTGAAATGTGTATTTAGCTGTTTTCTTCTGACCCATGATTTTCTTTTTCCCCCTGTTTTATTGAGATATAATTGAAATATAACACTGTATTAGTTTAAGGTGTACAGTTTTTATTTCTTTCAAAATACACAGTAGAGGCAAATATCCTGTAAGCTGCTATATCCTGATTTGTGTAACAGGGCTGTCACCCGTGGGTGTAGGTGAACTGGCGGGCAGGAAGAGGTGGGAGTGGGCATTTTGAAATGATATGTGCTGAAAATTTTATCTTGACTGTTTTTAGTGATGGAAATTAAATATCCAACCAGGGAGGCCACAAACATCCTGACAGTAGCATGGTGGGATGAGACGGTACTCTATTGAATTAGTCTAGAGGTCTCTGGGCAGTGGTTTGTGATTATTTACCTGCAGTGCTGCTTGGGGACATTTGCATGGAGAAAAAAAATGGCCACACAGTTTTTTTTTCAAATGTATAGAATGTTAACTTCATATTTTCATTTAACCTTTCAGTGTTTCAATGAAATGAACATTTCCTATTTCACTACTTGGTTTGCAGATTTTAGGGAGCTCGATTTAACTAACTGGAACAACATTTATAGTGTTATTTTTTGGTAACTGCTATTTACAAGACATGCAAAACATGTCTATCAAGAGAAGACAAAGCCTTCTTCCTAGCTGAAATAAATTCCACTTGACACCTAGGACTTCATTATATATTAAATCAACTTCATTCCTCTCTAGGTCGTATGTAAAATACACATATTTAATGTCTTTGTCTACTACAGATGTCCAAATGAGCAGATTCATTACCTGTCCTAGCTATAAAAACCTCCGCTACTGAATTTAAAGTGAGAGCACTAAACTCTAGAGTGTGTATAATAAACTGCTTAACTAGTTGTTAAATTTTTTTTAAAAATCTGCTTAGTAAAACAGGGGTCCTGTGAAGAATGTACGTTGCAGATGTAATTTACCTGGGGATTTCATTTGTTTCTATCCCATCCCTCAAACCCAGCTTAAATTCAGCAGCTCCTAATTAAAAATGACACGGTTTCATTACAGCTGTAGTATGGAGTGTGGAACACAGTGACTACAGTTTAAATCACATTACTTACCCGCACGATCCATTATACTCAAATTTTCCCTGATTCAATTGCATCGCTAAATCTGTTAAGAGACAAAAATAATTTAGCATCTCGTCTCCTCCGACAAAGAAGATCCTGATGGGGTGATTTCAAACAACGGAAATCAGATACTGACCCCTGGCTGAAAGGTCTTTTTTTAACACCACAAGGTTAAAGGTCGGTTTAAGGCATACAACTCTCTCTTCCATGTTGAAATGACCTTGTGTTTAAACTAAACAGAAAAATCTGTATTCATAGAGATCATGTTGGCAATGTTTTAAAATTTGGATTCAATATATGCGTCATATGATTGTTGAATTAGTGTTGAGAGTACAGATGTCCAAGCTGATATATAGTTAGAGGAGATGTGCCTTACCACCCTAGAGGAAGGGTACACCGGACATACCCAGTAGGGTCATGTGAATATAAAACTCGATTAAAATAAAAAATAAACTAGGTAAGTATGTAAAAATTGACTTAAGGTGACTTCAGGAGAATTCTTCTAGTGGGGTCTAGTGGCAGGGCATGGCTTATGGTTTTTCTCTTGCAGGCAAACACAATGTTCTTTCTTTTCATCAGCAAAAGAAATGGGCAGCTGATGGATTTTTTTTTTTTTCCTTCTCAAAGTGCTGTGATTAAACCTAACATTATAGAATACAACATAAGCTGACCTAGATCATAAGCAGCCTTTGGATCATTTAATCCATATAACGGAGTCACTGACAACAAAGAATAAAACTTGACCCCTTTTTAAGTAAGTAAAATCAGCAGTGCCTTTTAATCGTACTTTGTTTTTGTTAGAAACACTCCAGGGCTGTGCTGGTACCTGGTCACAGTTTAGCAGAGTGAGCACTGATAGGGATGCTGAGCAGAAATCTGAATCCAGTTCCTGATCACTGAGGCAGCATCACCAAGGGGTGGGAAACACAGTCAGGTCACATTCATGCCAAGGGGATGCAAGTCATAGGACCTTTCGATCAGTACAGATCGTAGGGAGCAAGGTGGATTGAGATTCACAAAATATGGTGGATGGACTTGAAAAAGAAAATGCCGCCCAAATGGGGAAACATGGGAGGTACCGCCATAGAGCAAAGAACAGAACAAGAAAGGTGTTTTGGTTTTTTTTTAACCAATATTAAGGACCATGCTGTGGCATTAACCACAGAAAGTGAATAGGTTTTGTGGCATATTTCTCACCTGTTTTAGGTGAGTAACTAGAGCCTATTATTTTTCTATTTTTAATTGCAATCGTAGGCCCTTAAGCAAACTTTGAAAACTTGACAAATTTTGTTTATGCATTCACAAAAACTGACTGCTCTCCTTGCAGGGAAAAAAAAAAAAAGATTATATACTGGAAACTTGCCTCAGAATACACTTTGGAGGAACAAGTTATATATTAGTACCTCTAAGGGTATAGAACTCCTTAAACACCATTTTAGCAGAATCTACTCTATAATATTCTGCACTCTTATGGTGAGATGCCACTATTTTGCTGATCTCCTGCTGA